TTACCTAGGCCAGACAGTGAGTTAGTGGAAGGATGAGGAAAAGAGACCTTCCACAAACACACAGACTGTCCTAGGTAGACTACATACAAGATGTCACAGACTGTGACATGAGATGAGAAAGGCTGGAAGCAGAGAAAGGACTGGAGGAAAGAAGAAACAGAAAACAGGAAACCATTTACTCCAACACCCCCCCTTGCTGACAGCCTGGAAAAAAGAAAAAAAATAAGAAAGAAGGTGAATCCTTTGAGAGAAAAGAATAGAAAGAGACAACGAGATAAAGGAAAGAAGGAAAGAAAGAAATTCAGATAAGTCCAAACCGAAAGCGTTGAGCCTCAAGTGCAACCCGAGAAAGAGGCTTTGTCAAGAGATCGGCTCGCATATCGTTAGTTGAGACGTGGAGGACAGTGACCCTTTGAGACCTTACACATTCCCTGGCAAAGTGATACCTTGCATGAATGTGCTTGGTCCGTGCATGGTGCTCTGGGTTCTTTGCTAGTGCCTCAGCACCTTCATTGTCGACGTGGAGGGGAAGGGCGGATTTTGGTCGGAGATGGAGTTCCCTGAGAATGTAGCGGAGCCAAAGAGCTTCTTTGCAGGCATCAGACATTGATTTATACTCAGCCTCTGTGCTGGATAGAGACACTGTTGCTTGCTTCCTCGACTTCCAGGAGATGGCACCATCCCCAAGATGGAAGGAGTATGCTGAAGTGGATCGTCGGTCATGTCGATCTTCTGCCCAGTCGGAGTCTGAGTATCCTGATATGTGCAAGGAACCCCCAAGACAAAGGCGGAGATGCTTGGTTGTCATCAGGTAGTTGAGGATGCGTATACCTGCTTGCCAGTGTGCGTCTGAGGGATCACGTAGGAACTGAGAGAGTCAATTCACCGCAAACGCAATATCCGGCCGAGTGCACTGAGCTGCCCAGAGGAGAGCACCAATTAGTTGAGGATAGGGGCCTGGGGACACTGGATCAGAGGGGAGTCGTGGAACTAGGTCTTTGAATATGGTGTCGGTTGGGGTATGAACTGTGATATGAGAGCCGTTGAGAAATCGATCCCTCAAGTCTTCAATGTAGTGAGATTGAGATAGGAAGACACGGTGGTTGGGGATGTCCCGTTCAATCTTCATTGACAGGAAATGGTGGAGATCCTCATCGGCACCGATCTTGAAAGACTTCCCAAGAGATGTAATCAGAGAGTCAACAAAAGGTGGTTCACCGACAATAGCCAGATCATCAACATGAGTTGTGACTGCGCTGACTAAGCTCTTGTTTTCAAGGCGGAAGTAGAGAGTGGGATCATAGCTGGACTGGGTCAAGCCGTTTTGGATCAGTACCTTGTGCAGCTCCAGGTTCCATTCACGCGGAGATTGCTTGAGCCCATAGATCGAACGATGTACTTCGCAGACCCAGTCTGGATGAGAGGGATCTTCAAAACCCGGTGGTTGCTCCATGTATACCGGTTCAGATAAATTTCCATTGAGAAAGGCGGTCTTGAAATCAACTTGCCTTCCTTTCCATTTCTTCACGGCAAGTAGGGAGAGAATGAGCCGAAGGGTTTCCATCCTGAGGGTTGGGGAAAACACCTCATCGTAGTCAACTCCACGAACTTGAGAGTATCCCATTGCAACCAGGTGTGCCTTGAGCTTTTGAATCGTTTTATCGGCCCGGCGTTTGATTTTGAAAACCCACTTGGACTTGATGATCTTGCGCTTTGCTGGACGGGGGACCAGTTTCCAGGTGGCCATGCCAAGGAGAGAGGAGTATTCTTCATCGGCAGCCTTCAACCACTTGTGTTTGTTGGGAGATTTCAGCAGTTGGCGCCAGGTTTTCGGCGTGTCAGAAACATCCTCTTGGACAGCTGATTTGGACCAGTTTCCAAGGCGATCCGGAGCTCGCTTTGACCTGATGGATTTTCTGGAAGCAGGGACGGTGGGCGGGACAGGCCCTGAGGATTGTGCAGAAGAGTCCTGAGACGAAACAGGTGGTGGTGAATTATCCTGTGGCGCGTGAATTGAGGAAGTACGTTGATTTGACGGTGGGGGACTTGGTGTATGTGTGTGGTCGGGAGGTGGGACCAAAAGTGGAGGTGGAGCAGAATTCACCGGCACTGAGTTGATTGGCCATGGCACCTCAACACAAACTGGTGAGGGTGTTGTCTGAAGAGGGGATTTGTACGGGAAAATGCAGTCCTCGAAAGTTACATCTCTGGTTTTGACTACTTTTCGGTGTTCTAGGTCCCATACTTGATAGCCGTTTCCATCAGGGAGATAAGACAGGAGCATTGCCGCACGCCCTTTGACGTCAAGAGATTTTCGGTTTGCCTCGGGTACCTTATACCACACTAGAGAGCCGAATGGGTGAAGGTAGGATGGTGACACCAGACGTTTACCAAGACCCTCGTTCGGGGAGCGGAAACCCAGTGGTGTCTTACAGGGGACTGAGTTAAAGGAGAAGAAAATGTGACGCAGAGCATCGGCCCAGAATAACTTTGGTGCAGAGGCATTGAGTAAGGCACAGCGCACTAGGTTGCGGATTGTCCTGTTGGTGCGTTCAGCTACTCCGTTCAACTCTGGTGAGTGTGGTGGGCCGGGATCATGTCGAATGCCTGATGAGCTGAGATAGGCAGAGAACTCATTGGAGATGTATTCACCGCCGTTGTCGGTGCGTAGAGCTTGAATTTGAAATCTCCCATCTTTCTCGAAGAAAGCACGAAATGTTTTGAAGCAGGAAAAAGATTGGGACTTGTATTTCATGGGGTAGACAGAAACATGTTTGGAGCAGTCATCGACAAAAGTGATAAAATATTTGAAACCCTCTCTGGAGACCACCTCAAATGATCCCACATTGGAATGTATGAGTTGACCGGGTTGATTGCAGCGATAAGGTGAGCGAGAGTGAAAAGGAAGTCGGTGCATCTTGGATTGGGTGCAGATTTGACAACGGGTGACGTCCAGAGTGTTCATTATGGAGGGTCGAACACCGAGTCTCTTCAGGAGGAGTTTGAGAGGCTTGAGGCCTATGTGGGAAAGACGAATATGGTAGTCGAGGAGGGAAGGGTTGGCGTCAGCTTTGGCCACTGATGATGTGGAGCTTGACTTTACCTCTGGTGCTGGCATGTAGAAGAGGTTCCCTTTTCGGTATCCACGGCCGACAGGTTTTCCTGATATTTTGACCTCGTTTGAGCGGAAGATCTCACAGGATGAATCTTGGAAGACAACTGTCAGGTTGGTGTCACAGAGGTTGGCGACGGACAGTAATGGCTCGTGTAGATTTGGTACAACAAGCATGGGGATGGAAGCTTCAGGGTTGAAAGGAAGGGAGGATGATCCCTTGTGAGTTGCCTTTACAACTGAATGATCGGCTAGTCGGATAGGTGTGCGGTCCATCTGTAGGTTGGAGACGTCCGAAAGATAGGGGGTCATGGAGATCGAGCACCCAGAGTCGATGTTTGCGTCCTTTTTAGCAACAGAGCAAGAGTGTGAAATGGAGTCGTTGATGGCGACGGCATTGCCGGCCTTGGCATTAGGGTGATGATCATCGACATCAGAGCCGGAGTAGTCTGAGTCGTCTTCGCTGATACTACCGCCTAGTTCTACTACCGTGGTCTGGCCAGCTTTGGCCGGTGGCTTGCGACGAGAACCCTCAGATCTAGAGGTGGAGGATCGAACTCGGTCGTTGTCCCGGCGATCAGACTGGCTCGGACGAGTGTGCTCGCTGAGTATGCGGGCTGCATTCTGACAGATCTCCAAGTTATGGCCGTGACGTTTGCAGAAGGAACAGAAGAGTGATCGATCAAATGGTGGTCGGGTTCTAGTTGAAGACGAGGGTGCGGTTGACTTGGCATTCGAGATCGAGACCGACTCCATGGGTTGGAGGTCCTCTAGACGGGCTTTGCGGCGCAAGTTTTCCTGCTTGAGAGCCATTATGATACGGGCCGGATCGATGCGCGGTTCGTTCATCATGGACGAGACGCAGGCTAGCCAGTCCGGAGGTAGAGAAACAAGAATGTTTGCAGCGAAGATATCGTTCGGAGTGAGGGGAGCATCCGGACCTAGCAGCGAATTGAGCTGCTCGAAGACTTTTGACATGTCATCAAGGTGGGCTTCGATATTGTCACCGGTCATGCGGAAGCTGTTCAGTTTGCGTAACCAATACATAACCCCCCCTGAGGAGGTATCTTGGTGAGCCTTCCTGAGGGAGGCCCACAGTCCTCGCGCGTCGCGATTGAAAGCCCGGACGTAGCGGATGTTGGATGGGTGGATCGTACGGGAGATCACACCAATGATGGCCATGTTGTCCTGTGCGGACGTTGCTCGTGAGGCCATGGCGGTTTTTGCTTTAGTCTCGTCGGGATCGAGTATGTAGGCTACGCCGGTGGCCTGGAAATGAATGTCGAGGACCCAGCTCCAGTCTAGGTAGTTGGAGTCTGGTCCTGGGGGTTTGAGTTGTTCGACCCCCGTTATTTTTAGAGTGGGGTGGCTTGTAATGTCGGTTGAGGAGGAAAACGGGATGGGATTTTCCCCGGTTTTTGAGGGGTCTGAGGCCATGATGAGGCGTTGGAGTTGAGAGTGGTAGTTAAAAGAGCTTTATCGAGAAGCTTACGGATCCTTTAGAAAATTTGCTAGAGGCAACTGGGTCTCATAACCTGTTGCAATGAATCTAGGCCAGACAGTGAGTTATGTTGAGATTCCTGTGACATGTCACTACTCATCTCATGTTCATGTTTGTTCCTGTGCTTCTTCAGATTTCATTTCCTTCATGTCACACTCTGTGACACTTGTTTGTTTTCATCTCAGCTCTTATACTGGAGACACCCGTGCTTGGGAGGATCTCCTCTTTCCTCATCCTTTCCAACACATGTCTCCAGACCATCTTGGTGTCCATCTCAACAGGTTATGATGCCCAGTTGTGCTTAAACTCTACTCGATCCGCACACTTTTCCTCGATTCTTGGATCACCTCTCTGCGACGACACTCGATAATCGATAGGTTCACCGCTATGTCCAACCCCGTAGCCCAATCCACTGATGCCACCGACGCTCTTAATCTTAAGGTGTCGGGCATCGTCCAACTTAAACCGCAAGGGGCAGACTCGAACTACCTTGACTGGAGTTTCGTGGTCTTACTCCATCTCCAATCGCTCAAACTCGCTTACGTCCTCGAGTCCGAGGATGCTGCTCCCACAGTCGCCGCCACCGTTGCCGCCACCGCCGAGACGAAATCCCGTCCTCCCTCGTGGGCCATCGACAGCATTGCTGTCTCATCCTTCATCGCTCGTACCATCCATCCCAGCAATCTCCGCTTCATCAGGGCCCATGGCACCAACGCCGCGGCGATGTGGACCTCTCTCTCCCAAGCCCACCAGGACTTCTCTTCCGGTGGTCGAATGCATTGGTTGCGACAGCTTGTGGTCGCTCGCCTATCCGGGGACGATATCGATTCGCACATCGAATCGATGGCTATTTGCGCAGAACGCCTCGGTTCTTTAGTTACACCCGAGAAACCTTTGACAGTCGACGATATACACGCCACTGCCCTCCTGACCTCGCTCACGGACGACTGGCTTCCGTGTGTATCCGCCCTCATGAATGAGGATTCGGTTACGTCCTCTCGCATCGTTTCTGCCCTCAAGGCAGAATCACTTCGTCGAAAAGCTCGTCGAGACGATGAAT